GGCAAGTAATGAAAAACAAAACAAACAAACGAATTGTGTTGCACAAAACTGCTTTGTTTTAAGTTTTAACTAGGTGGCGATGCCGCGCCTTGTCGCGGGCGGAGATGACCTATGGGCATGTATTGTATAGCCCGTTATGGTGTTTTGTTAGTATTATTAGCCTAAAATCAATTTTTTGTTAGCAATTTTGTTAGTAAATTTACTGAGAAGAAATATATAGTGGTCAACATCCAATTAAATTTTTGTTAGAAAATTTTGGCTAGTAAATGATATTTACCTAAACCCAAGTAGACCTATTGATCATGGGTAGAGTATGGGTGACATAGATATGGGGTTGGAAGTTTGTAGATGGGTTTGGGTAGGATATGAATATTTATTTCTATAATATAAATATGTATGAGTTGGCTATGGATAACCATCTATTCGAGGGTGTTTTAATTACACGTAAAAAATTATACCTATTTGTAGAAATTCAAAAGTTTAGGTACCAAAATGTAGTAGACAAAAAATTTAGGTGCTCAATTTTGGAGTTGGGATTATTACCCCAAACATTCAATGTATAATTGTCGAAAATTCTAGTCCCGGTGAAAATGAAAAACTTTAGAGACAAGCAAAAGGAATACAAATTGGAACTCGCTTAGAATTTCATGCCTTCAAATCCCATAGTGGAAAATGACAAATTTCTAATAAGTAATAACCATATATATTTATTTTTAATTGGACTCGACATTGAGATGAAAAAAAGTTAGTGGTTCATGGTTCAATTATTAGTTCCCTAGACTGTTGGTGAGTCGTGTATGGACCCGTTAATTCATACTTGTGATTGGAATACATAAAAATAGTATCCTAATTAGGGTTAGACGAAGAAGGCAAAGAAAGAAATAAAGAAAGGGTTATGGAAGGCGAGTGAAAAATGAAACGAAGACGAAGTAGATGATGGAAAGGTTTTGTCCGATTCTTTTAGTTGGTCGTCAATACAACATTCAACTCTTTTCACCGTAGCAATTTATTGACACTTGCTTATGTAGATGACACATATTTTGTTACAGGTAGTTAGTAGAAGTTTGTTTAGTACCCCATAAATGTACTAAATGAGATACCAAAACATATTTTTTCAATGATTTTACAATAAAATCAAATTTGGGGTATCAAAATGTAAAATCTACATTATAGTGACTAAGTTGTGATTTAATTAAATTTGGGGTAGTTAGTAGAAGTTTGTTTAGTACCACATAAATGTACTAAATGAGATACCGAAACATAATTATTCAATGATTTTATCTTAAAATTAAATTTGGGTATCAAAATGTAAAATGTACCTTATAATAACTAAGTTGTGATTTAATTAAATTTGGGTATCAAAATGTGAATTTTTTAGCAACAGTAACCAAACTTCTGCTTTATATATATTAATACCCCATAAATGTACTAAATGAGATACCAAAACATATTTTTTCAATGATTTTACAATAAAATTAAATTTGGGGTATCAAAATTTAAAATCTACTTTATAGTGACTAAGTTGTGATTTAATTAAATTTGAGGTAGTTAGTATAAATTTGTTTAGTACCACACAAATGTACTAAATGAGATACCAAAACATAATTATTGAATGATTTTACCTTAAAAATTAAATTTGAGTATCAAAATGTATAATGTACTTTATAATAACTAAGTTGTGATTTAATTAAATTTGGGTATCAAAATGTGAATTTTTTAGCAACAGTAACCAAACTTCTGCTTTATATATATTAACTAGGTGGCGATGCCGCAACTTGTCGCAGGTGGAGATGACCTATAGGAATGTATTATGTGGCCCGTTATAGTATTTTGTTAGTATTATTAGCCTAAATTAATTTTTTGTTAGCAGTTTTGTTAGTAATATTGACTTGACAATGTGATATTGACTAAGGATAGATATATGTAGGTCAACATCCAATTTAAAAATTTTGGCTAATAAATGATATTTACCTAAACCCAAGTAGACTCATTGATTATGGGTAGGGTATAGGGGTGGCTATTTTGACCGGGACCGGATTAAAAACCGGAAACCGGACCGTATAACTCGGACCGAGACCGGACCGGGACCGGATAGTAAACAATCCAATCCAATCTTTGGGCTTAGATTTGAGGTAAAAAAAATCGGATAAAGACCGGATAAGAGAGCTCAACACCCAAAACTTAAGGGTAATTTGCATAAACGGTCACAAACCTTTGCACTTAGTACAAAACTTAACCAACTCCTCACCCTTTAAGGCCTTAGGCCACTCAAATCCCACAATCTCAATGTAAAATCAAGACCGAATTGGGACCGGACCGGATCAAAACCGGACCGGATCAAGACCGGACTGTATCCAATCCAATCTTCGGTCCTTATATTTTCAAAAAGACCGGACTGGACCGGATCAATTTGGGCCAATTTAACCGGACCGGACCGTATAGCCACCCCTAGTAGGGTATGAGTGACGTATATGTGCATTTGAAAGTTTGTAGATGGGTTTGGGTAGGGTATGAATATTTACTTTCATAATCTAAATGTGTATGAGTTCGTATGGATATTCATTTATTCGAGGGTGTTTTAATTACACATACAAAAATTAGACTTATTTGTAGAACTTCACAAGTTCAGGTACTAAGATGTAATACACAAAATTTTAGATACTACAATGTAATGTTCCATAAGTATTTTGAGGACTTATATGCCAAAAAATTAATTTTAGGTTATAAATCTAAGGATCTATTAAGTTTAGGTACCCAACTGTAATTTGCATAGTTGAGGCTTTATTCCTTTTATGGTGATGTATTTAAGATGATAATTATTTACTTTTTTATAAAAAAACAGAAAACTATTTATTTGATGTGTATAATTGTTGAAATTCCATGTATAATTGTTGAAAATTCTACCCGGGTGAAAAAGAAAACCTCTAGAGAGAAGCAAAAGGAATACAAACTGGTACTCGTTTAAAATTTCATGCCCTCAAATCTCATATTAGAAAATGATGAATTTCTAATAAGTAATAACCATATATATTCGTATTAATTGGACTCGACATTGAGCTAAAAAAGTTAGTGGTTCATGGTTCAATTATTATTTCTCTAGACTGTTGGTCAGTCGTGTATAAACCCGTTACATACTTGCGATCGGAATGCATAAAAATAGAATACTAATTAGGGTTAGATGAAGAAGGCAAAGAAAGAAATAAAGAAAGGGTTGTGGAAGGCGAGTGAAAAATGAAACAAAGAGGAAGTAGACGATGAAAAAGTTTTGACCAATTCTTTTAATTGGTCATCAATACAACAGTCAATCATTTTTACCGTAACAATTTATTTACACTTGCTTATGTAGATGTCGCATATTTTGTTACATGTAGTTAGTAGAAGTTTGTTTAGTACCCCGTCAATGTACTAAATGAATTTATAAATTCGCTCTTGCAATATTTTAAAATCGTCTCTTTTTATCATTTTTAATGTTTCACGTAATTAGCAAATATAAAATGGTTGAATCTTCTACTACAGTTGAGTGATACAACATCTTGTATGATACAAACTAAATTTATACTTTAATGTTATGGTGAATTAGATTCATGGATTTGTTCAAAAGGATTGGTGGATTGAATTCATGGATTCAAATGAAATCTAAACATTGATCAATATATAAAAGTACGAAATTGTAGGTACCAAATTCTCATACAATTTAGATACCAAAACATAATTGTTCAATGATTTTACATTAAAATTAAATTTGGGGTATCAAAATATAAAATGTATATTTTAGTGACTAAGTTGTAATTTAATTAAATTTGGGGTATCAAAATATAAATAGGTTAGCCAACAGTAACCCAACTTAAGCTTTATATATATTAACATGGAAACTTACCCTAGTATTACTGTGAATGTTTCATTGAATATGAATTTCATTTCGAAATGGAAGCTTAGTGACTCATCAAATTGGATTATATGCGTGAGTGGTGATGGTTGTTAAACCTTTGCTTTCGCCAATGATGAAATCACTTTTCGACTCCATCTATATGATTTTTAACCTACATGATGCCCCATCTATATGGCTCTTTTACAACTGCACTGTAATGATCTTTAACCAAGCTAGTTAATTCGATCAATGTTCAATTTGGGCATAATTTACATAATGAGATTAAACCTTTCCAAAAGCAGCATGACCAAAAGATTATTCCTGTGGTTCGTCAGATTAAAATGATTGGAGTCTTTGCGTCAATGTCAAGCTTCCAGGATAAAATGCATAAAGTTTTCTAACATTATATAATATGGTGAGAAATTGATAATAAAAGTTGGCTTGGATTATGAAAGTGAAAAAGAACGTCAATCATTGCCATTAAAGCTATGTTTATGGCACATTTAATTTGTTTGTGTGGTTAGTGTTAATTATAGATAGTTAACCTCTGGAGTAGCAGGTAAAACTTAAGAACTAGAAGAAAAGGATCAAAACGAATAATACAGAAATGAATGTACAATTTTGTTGTTATGGGAAAAAATTCAAATTGATTGAGATAATTTTGGGGAATTTGCTTGTAGAGTGGCGCAATATAGTTTCTAATGCGTCGAGAAAACGATTATCTATTTTACTTCTATCCCTAAAACTACTACGAATTCTACTAAACTGGATTATTATTCATTGACGTACTAAAACAGAAGAACAACGTACATATTTATAGGACTACTCTGACAACCCTTTCCCTCTCAAACAAGGAAACTAATCCTAACCCAACAAGTAAATAATAACTTCCTCAACAAGACACAATAACTAATAATAATATATAATTATTAGCCTCATATTCGGCACAAGGGCCACGGGTGCTATAATGCACCAAACCTCCCCCCTTTGAAGAACTTCGTCCCCGAAGTTCAGGTGCCATCTTCAACCCGGATCAATGAAAAAAAGTCGCTCCAATGTATTGATGATCATGACTAGAGTGAGTGCTCGTTGATGCCAACCTCATTTACGAATTTTCCAATTACGCCTAGGCACTTGAACCAAGCCTTTATCACCGGAGTCTTTAGGTGGCAATTGATCCCCGCAGCCACCTCCGTTCGTTGTTGCCTTCGTCTCGGGCTCCACCTCGCTCGTCGTTGACCGTAGAGAGCCTCCCGTCACAATGTTGCTCGTATCAACGGCGAGCTGCGGAACTGTTATCGTCACAATCTTTCGTAGAGCTTCCGCGATGGAACAGAGTTGGCTTTCCAACTTCTCCAACCTAGCTAGAGGCCAATCTTGGACACGTCGCGACGTCTCCGATACATCTTGCAAGCCTTGTAGCTGACCAACGAGCCCGCCGTGGACCTCTGCCGACTCCTCGACATCCCGGTTGCCTTGGCTATAAGAATCATCAAGGATTCTCTCCACCGTTCGTTGATGTTGACGAAGCTCTTGTAGTCCTTCTTCTCAACCACGATCGGAATGTACCCAGCCCTGGTCGACAATAACGAATTGAGGATATGGGGTTTGAGCATCGTTGGTCGTCCATGCCGCTCCCCAGGGTTGATCCACGGCTGCCCAACCGTCGATGTGGTTACGAGCTCCGTGATTCCACTGATCTCTCCAGTCCAACGCCTCCCATCCCGGCAGGCACGAGGATTGATCCTAAACCTGCTTCTACAACTCTAGCTCTGGCGGCTAGGCTCTCCAGGTCTTGACGGTAGTATCGATCATGATATGACCATGGTGATGTGACGAAGATGGATACGTCGGCAATGGTGGGTGTAGCGGCGTCTTATAGCTAGGGTAGCCATTCACGTAACGAGGAAGTATTTCCTCGTAGCCCCTGTATGCGAGCCATGATGAGCTCGATTCTGTAGAACCAAACTCTGATGCCAATTGCGCATTATAGTTTCTAATGCATCGAGAGAACGATAATCTACTTTAATTCTACTCCTAAAACTATTACAAATTCTACTAAACTGGATTATTATTCATTGACGTACTAAAACCAAAGAACGACGTACATATTTATAGGACTACTCTCACCAATGTAGTCAAACTATAGCTTTTAGGTATAAGCGAAATGATGGGTAGAAACGTAAGCGTAAAAGCGTATGTTTATAAGGATCATCTAAAAGTATGATAAATCTCCTCACTGCAACCTGTGTTCTGTATAATATAAACACCGTACACTTAATAATTTCTCTTGTTTAAAATATCATAGATCATGAACATAAGAAAATTTGAAAAACTCTTAAACTAATGTAAGATGCAACTCATAAAAAATTCATAAACATAGAAAATGAGTTGATAGTACAAACTAGCATGTGTCTTAACTCATAAACAATCTTAAATATCCAAATTCTCAAAATGAAAGCATACTAAGGTTCTCAAAAATGAAAATAAGACTACATCAGAGCATCAACATCAACATTTGAATCCAAGTCATCATCATCGCCACCACTATCATCGCCACCATCATTGTACCCATGGCCTCCATCATCCCTTGCGCCATCGCCTCTATCATCATCCATGAGAAGAGGACTAACATGATCACTGTTCTCATCGCCAACTTCTAATTGATCATCCTGTGGTTCATCAGTTTCACTACCACAAACCCATTCATTATCAGAGTCCATATCCTCAAAGGCAACTTCAAGTTTCCTTGCCTGCTTGAGATTTCCCAACAACTTTGTATTAGTCATGACATACACTAGATCATTCAATTTTTCTGCAAGCAGTTTGTTCCTTTTCTTAGTATGAACCTAGAAGAATCAATATGACATAAACAAATAAGAAATTATACTCATATTAGATGTAGTAAGAAAATATAAAATGTCACTAGTTGAACATAAACAAGAAACATGTTCTTACCCTCTCAAATGCACTCCAATTACGCTCGCACCCAGAACCACTGCAAGTCAAGCTCAACACTCGGATGGCAAATTTTTGAAGCTCTGGTACGACATCTCCAAATGAATGCCACCACTCAGAAGGATGTTGTCTATCCTTTAAGGACATTGCCCCAAATTGATTAAACATGCCTTTTGCAAGGCGGAATTTCTCCATTTGTTCCATTATCCTAAGCTTGTCCTCGTCATCCCTTGTTAATCTGTTCACACATTCATACAATCCTGATTTCACTTGTCTATCATTATGATTAAACCCTCTAGCATACTGAACTTGAGGATCTAACCAAAATGCAGCAAAGTGTAATGGCATGCTCATTTGATCGCCCCATCTCTTGTCAATGATCTTCAAGATAGGTTTGTATCTGTAAGAATGATATCAAGTCACAAGAATAAAGTATAACATCACATTTAAACTATACTAGCTTATTAAATGATCTAGTAAACTGAAATTGAACTTCAAAGCTACCTTTTTCCACATTGTTGAAGTTCTTCTTAATCTTCTCCTTCGCTTGAGTCAATTCCAAGTACAAGAAAGGTATTGCTGGGTTTTCATCAGAATCAACCAAATGAAGAACATTGATAAGAGGAAGTGCAGCTCTTAGACAATTTGTCACATTTGCCCAAAACCTACCATCAAGCACAATCCCCTGAACTCTTTTTCCTTCTTGAATATTAGCAAAGTTGCTCTTTCTCCACTTCTCTGAAGAGAATATTTTCATCAATTGACCCCTATTTTCACTCAGAGATGACAAAGTCAAATATGATATAGCAAATCTTGTGACTGCTGGCCTTATTAATTCTTTCCCCTCTGCGAACTCCTTCATCATAGCAATCAACATTGACCTAACATATATGAAATTTGTGATCTTCCTACCCTTGGAAATTGTAGTCTTGTGAACCTTCAAATGCTTCTCAAGACCCTCTAACATTAAATCCATACAATGAGCGGCACATGGAGTCCAAAATAGATGCTTCCTCTTCTCCATCAATAAATGTCCATCTGCTTTGTAATCTGAAGCATTATCAGTCACAATTTGCACAACATTTTCTTCTCCAACCTTCTCAACAATTGCATCTAGATTTCAAACACCTTTTCAGTCGTCTTAGAAAACTTTGAAGTGTCTTTAGACTCAAGAAATATTGTACCTCGAGGACTATTAACCAAAAAGTTACAAAGAGATCATCTTTTCTTATCAGTCCATCCATCAGACATTATGGTGCAACTCACATCTTTCAATTCGTCCTTGAATAACTCCAATTTATGCTCCACTTCTTCATTTCCTCCATCAGAAAAGTCTCTCTCACCTCATGATACGAAGGAGGCTTAAACCCAAGACCATGTCGAGCTACATCTTCAAACATTTGATTATATTTAGAACTTCTGGTTGCATTGAATTGAATTGCATTCTCAGAAAACCATTGTGATATGGTTTTGCATGCAAAATTCCTCAGATCTCTCTTCAGGATTACACTTATAGTTGTTTGTTTAGTGCCACTACCACCAACAACATTCTTCCTCATATTGGCTGCAATATATGGAATGATTTCTTGCTGTCTAGGTTCTGTACCATCTCCCATATCACCCTCATCTTGGCCATAATCATGCAATTGTTTCCTCTTGAGTGTTTTTGCTTCTACATTTGCATTTAATAGCTCCAACATTTGTTTCCTAACTTCTTCGGGGACACTAATACAAGGCTCACAATTCTTCTTTGTTCCTGCAAGATGATGTTTCAGTCGATAGATATTACCGTTGTACTCATTGGAACAGAACTTGCATCTCACAGTTTTTCCATCGCCATTGACATCTATTCCATGCGCCCACCCCGGATCATGACGAGTTCCAGCTGCTCTTTTGTTATTTGATTTACGTTGTGAGGAAGATGCACCAATATTAGGCGTTGTCTCTCACAACCCTTTCCCTCTCATACAAGGTAAACTAATCCTAACCCAACAAGTAAATAATAACTTCTTCAACAAGACACAATAAACTAATAGGGATAACAATAATGACTCATCAATTAACTAATAATAATATCTAATTATTAAGCTCATATTCGGCACAAGGGCCACGGGTGCTATAATACACCATAGAGCTTATCCTCTCGACTGTACGATACATATAGGTTTGGTGTGACACTTTGTTGCGTTCATGATTCGAGTCTGCACATAGTAATTGGTGTTGGTTGTATAGGGTATGTTCTAATTGTTTTTTTTTTTTTTTTTGCCGTAGATAGACAGTTGATTAGAAATGGGTAAAAAGTAAATAACGTAGTCGACCAATTGTCAGCTACCGATGCAAGGACCGTTTTTGTCACTAAATGGGCAGCCCTATTAGTCCTACGAGAAGTAAAGAAAAATTGGATGTACAGAAAGCTTGACTTTAGGAGCCGAACTTCCTCCAAGATCGCCCCACTAGACTCGTGATTAACATCGTTCTCCAGTGCTCGCCGGATAACAAGTTGCGAATCAACACAGAAACAAAAGTTATAGAAACCATGATTCAAACACCATAACATTGCGTCACGAAGGGTAAGAAGCTCAGAAACAAAAGGGTCAGCCAAACATGTATAAAACTTTCCATACGCACAGACAAGCGATGAGTCTCCAGCAAAGCCCACGAACCTTGTGCTACCGCCTACTTCTTTTCGGAAAGCTCCTTCAAATCTCACCAAGATACCCCTCGGAGGGCTGGAGACCGGAGGAGGCTGCCTGCCTTGTTGCCGACCTGCAGGGAGATTATTATCCGGATTCCCTGTTGCCTCTCGCCACTCGCTGACCTGAGACGAGAACTGCCGATGGATTGTGGTGGGTAAGTATTGGACGTGATCATAGGTGGTCCAGCACTTGCCTTTCTACAGCTGCCAAGAGAGGAAAACGATCTCCGCAATCTATACTTTAGATAGCTGCAAAGCAAAGAAGATTTTATGCCAAGCAGCATCTGGAGAAAAAAGACAAATAGTCTGACGAATAAGATCCTTCCCGGCGAGGTCCCAAATGCCACATGCTATCCTGCAATTGAAAAAACAAAGGGATATCGACTCAGTGGCCTCCGAAAAAACAGGGCAAGTATCATAAGTACATAAAGTTTTTAGTTTTAGCACAACTTGCAGCGGGAGAAACCCGCGTACAAGCCTCCACAAAAAGAATTTCAGTTTCGCAGGAATGGGGAGATTCCACAAGAGCTTCCAAAACTTTGTATCCAAATGAGGAGAGACGGGTGCAAAGGATGTAGATCCCGCCGTCGATAAGACTTGATAGCCTGATTTGACGGTGTAGAGCCCGGATGAAGAATAATGTCAGATTAACCTGTCCGGTAGGGGAGAGGACGGCAGCGGAATGGTAAGAATCCACTTTACACTGTCAATGTGGCTGCGGAGAAGATCAAGATTCCTAGTTCTTGTCATCGGATGAATAAGGGATGCCACATAGGGATTCAGGAGAGTAGCACCATCTAGCAGCTTCGGGGAGGACGGCGGTGATGAAGGTAGCCATGGATCCTGAAGAATGTCAATGGCCGTCCCACACCCAACCTTCCATCGAAGACCCTTAGCTAGCAATTTCCGCCCTTCAAGAATTCCTTGCCATGCCCAGGAAGGGTGATTACCTATTGGCGCTTTGAGAAAAGACGTATTGTGATGATATTTTGCTTTATATATAAGAGCCAAGGTGGACGAGGGATCTTGAACTAGTTTCCACACCTGTTTGGCAAGCATAGCGACGTTAAGAATATCAAAGTATTTGAAGCCGAGTCCTCCTTCAAATTTACTCGTACAGACCGCCGGCCAAGATATCCAGGGGATCCCCTTCTCTTTTTCTTGCCCCGCCCACCAGAATCGGGACACCTGGCTATTCAATCGTCGACAGC